CATGGGGAAAGTAGGTAACAATATATATTAAGATTAAACTCTGATTTCTGGGGGAACATCAAAAGAAGAACACATGAGGCAGATACTCTTAGGATATATTATGTTGTATAAAGCACCAAATTTCCAAAACAAGATACAGACCAAAAATAGTTTGAACTATGCTCTCAGGTTTCAAAAGTGTCAATTTACATGATAAATATCACATTTACAGAATTTCACAAGTTGAATTATAGTATTGATTGTAACATATCCCTTTCTTGAGCATCTACAGAATGAAGCACTCCTACCTGTTCTTGCTTTGCAACTATACCCATTGGTTCATTAGCAAAGAAAAAGGGAAATTCATAGTCTCAAAAGTCTGTTCTGATTTGCACTTTCTAGTGTATATTATTTATTATGTTATTTTTTTAAATTTACATTTCATTAAGTCATTGATTATATTTCCTATAACACATGCGCACGTGCACACACACACAAACATACACATCTCTCTGAAAAGAAACACAGGGAAGAAAAGAAAGGAAAAGAATTTTTTAAAAAGACAATAAAAAGCACTAAAAAAAAGGAAATGTAGAAAGAAGAGAGGAAGGAAGGAAAGGGGAAAGGAAAGGGACGGGAAGAAGAGAAAAGAGAAAGGAGAGAAGAAGAAGAGAGAAGAAGAGTTTGATAGATGAGCAAAAGTGTACCTTAATGCTAAAGGTAAGAACCAGGACTGAGGTTGAAGTCCCAGGAAAAAAACAAAAACTCCATGAAAGAATTTTTTAGCAATTTGAGATTTTCACAAAGAAACTGGTAGCCCTATGGAGTGGTGTACTCTTTACAGCAACCATTGAAACAAAAAGTGGATAACCAATGAACAAGGGTATGCTAAAAGATTCTCTGCATTGCTGAAAAAGTGTATAAAATGACTTACAAGTTCTATCCTCATACTAAGATTCTACTATTTAACATTCACTGTCAAGATTTTCATTGTCACAAACACATGTGCGTAGGACTGTGCTCTTGCTCTCTCTTTCACCTAACCACACACACAATTAAATCTGAATTAGGAGCAAAATAATTAAATAGAATAATTTACTATTCTTTCGGGTATTTCCACATAAGCATTAGAAAATAACACTCATCCTAATGTGAATAAAATCTCCTTTGTTCACTAATTCCATTATGTATTTTTCTTATTCTGCTGTGTAGTTCTTGGTAAACTATTTGAGATTCAGAAAATGTAGTAATCAGAAAGGTTTGTATTAAAACATTTTCAAAAACATGGTAATCTATTCAATAATCATTTATTTTGAAGGTCAAAGCTAATATTTTGAAGGCTTAAGAAAGGATGTATATCAGAAATACAATTCTACTGAAAACTATACTGAATACACAATTCTGTACTCAGGAAACATTTCTTGAGTGTTCAGGTCTCTCAGTCTCTGATCTGACAAACTCCAGAAGATCTTATTTCCCTATTTATTTCCTTCTCTGACTTTTTAGAATCAGAGGTAAAAATCAATAGTTGCCCTCTATGTTCTAAAATTAGTTTTTCTCATGTGGAGGAATAAATGTGTTTTCCCCTTTAAGTCTGTTGGTACTACAGTGCTGTCACAATATGCTAAATTCAGATGTTACATAAACTCAGGTTATTAATAAAACAGATTTATTAAATATATTCAGAACAAATTCTTGAGGTTTCATGTATTGAAGCTATATTTTAAAATAAAATTCCATATGGTGTTAGCCTTCTCAGAAAATAGAAAATACAGCATTTGTGATGTATATTGACCTATAAATTGTTTTCCAAATCCCCTGCTTTAACTCATTAATTGTTTAAAATGTGTGCCTGGTGTATATTGTGCAGCTCTTTTCAAAAGCAATATACTAATACACAGTATGGCTCAGAAAATCCAAATTATGTAAAGCAGTTTTCTCTGTAAAATAATTTAACAAAATCAAAAATGTGTGCATAAAGTGTGAGAACTCTACCAAGATAATATTGGAAACTCAAAATTAGAGGATTGATCTGATAAAGTATAAACATAGTGGAATATTTTATCCATTAAGGTAATAATTATGAAGACAATATCAAAATATGGAATAGGATTTCAAATATATGGTTAACAAATAGAATTATCAGAAACTATGTATATTTTACAACTATGTAAAATGTGGATATTTACATAGAAAGGGATGTGCAAAGTGAAAAGATTTTAGAGGTTATATAGTTGTTGGACCCTGAAGTCCATGTATAAGTGAAGGGTCTATAACTAGATTAGTTAGAGAATGGTGTAGTTAGTAATACTTCCCAGGGTAGTTAGGGAATGGATTTTCTTTATTTCTATTTTATAGAAATATAGGAGAACACTCATAAAATCTGTACCTTTACTCCTAATTAACCAGTGGAGAATTAGTAATAGAAAAGACAGTACCTATGTGTTAATCAATAGTCATTCTAATATGCTGCCATGACTGAATTTATAATCAGTTTTTCAAGGATTATGCCATTTGACCTTGAATGCTAAATAATTATGTGGCAAAATGTAGTATACTGGTAATATTATTGCTTTATGACCTTGCACATTAAACTGAAAATTAACCATAAGATTTTATATATGAAAAGGATATTTTCAAAAATTGTAATGAATTGATACATTTAAGGCAACTTCTAATTTGTATGATTGACCTTAAAGTTATAATTTTTCCGTAAAACTCCATTTAATACATTATTATACTATAATTCAAAAACATTAATGCAATTTCCAACAGCAATAAACTTATTACTGGTAGTTTATTAGTAGTGAATACGACTCAATTTAAATAGTGAATTATTTGAGCATTTTTTGTATTTACCATGCTATCTATTTCCATTTGAGCTTATAAAACAAGCTCTTCTCTTTTTTACCAACTTCTGTAATTATCACTCATCCTTAGGAATATATTTTGGTGCAACAAAAATGTTTTCATTGGACAGCTAGAAAGAGTTTTAAATATAATTTCTAAAGTACTTATTTTCTTAGGAGAGCCAAACTTGTCATTCTCATAAATGTCCTTACAATACAAAGTGAACATTTAGAAATAAAATACCAAACTTAATACCCAAGTCTTTCTTAGAAATTTAAAGCATATGCATTGTAAACATAGAGAAATAATTTTTTCAAATTCTGTTCTCACCTGCAATTGGTTTATTTGAATAGATTTCTGGAAATGAGTTGGGAAGACATTATGAGTTCATAATGATAATTCTAATTTGAGTTTATCATTAATAGAGGTTTTATGTACCTCCATTGATTTGATATCTATATCCCTATTTCCCATAGAAAAAACAAACCCACCTAGTCCTCAATAACACCAAAATAATTACTCATTTGTTTTAACCCTCAACATACACACACAGATTCAGAATTACTATACTGATATTACCTACAACATCATTACTATAAATAGTTTAATAATTTTTATAGTTTTTTCAATCCTTAAAATTATCTCATTGGGATGTATGCTAAGTTTCTATTTTTTAGAGTGCTTTTAAGTAGTTAATCTTAGAGGCTTGCCTCAATACACAAAAGTTTCTTTCATTTTTCTTTTCTTTTCTTTTCTTTTTTTTTTTTTTTTTGATACTTTTTTCAGTACTGATTTGCTTTCTAACCATTTGACTATTTACAGGGTTCCAAAGTAAATCTCCAAGGGAAGGCAGATTCTGAGACTCTATCTACCAACCTTATACTGTCCATCCTATTGCCTCCCACCCCTGAGGATATCCATTGTTATCACTTTTTCTATTCTTGGGATTATCCTTACACTGCTTTTTATACATTTTTCCCACCCTACTTTTTTCATTTAAAAATATATCCTGGAAAAAAACTCCATTATGGTATTTATAGCTAGCCATAATTCTCTGGTGGATGTAGCATAGTTTTTCAACCAGTCCCTTTCTGATGGACAGTTAAATTGTTTCCAATCTTTACAAATAAATCTCAATGAGTAGTCTTGTAAATATGTCACTTTGTATTTGTTCAGTGTGTCTTTGGGATAGATTCCAAAAGCCCAAGTGTAAATGAACATATAATTTGCCTTAAATTGTTGAATTTCCTTTCATAAAAGTTGTACCATTTTGCATTCCCATCGACAATGTATTAAAGTGCTTTTCTCCATAGCCTAGTCAGCAGAGCCTGCTGTCAAATATTTGGATTTTTGCCAATCTTATTGGTAAGAAATGGTATCTCAGTATATTTCATTTATATTTCTCTTTTTATGAATGAATTTTAACTTCTATGTAAAAGCCTATTTTTAAAAATTAGAATATTGAAAATGAGGGATATTTTGTTAGAGAAAAGAGTCTATGATATACACATTCTAGGGAAATTCTGGAAGTTTAATGCAAGATTAGGTTAGGATTGGGTTGTTAAAACAATGATATATTGAGGGAAAGAAGACATGATTCTGAAAATAAACTTCAGAAGTTAAATGTTTCAATTTTATTCAGATGTCACAGAAACCATGCAAAAAAATAATTCTCATGTTGATATGCAATAATTTATAGTTAAGAAGTTTGTGCTATAAACTTTCATAAATCACTAAGACTTCATGAAGTACTAAGTCTTGAGGAGAAAGAAAAGCCTATAAATGATCCTGTAATTGCAGAGTGTTTTTCTACAGCAGACTTAGACTTGCTAAAATATAGGACCCAGATGTATTGTACTTCATGCAGTAGCCTAAAACCAAAGCTATTTTAAAGGAAAATGTCCTCCTCTAACAAAGACTAAGATGATGACTTCTGGCTCTCATTCTTGGACTATTTGAGTTTTTCCTGTGTTCCCTAGTAGTGTTTCTAAATCTATTTTAATAGTTTATTTGGATTAAATAGAGTAGATCCTAAGGCTTTTTTACTAATCTGACATCAACATTGCTATCCTCTTCAACAAGAATTATATTTTCCTTGGAAGACAAAATAGTAAAGAATTATGGAGAATGATTCCTGCCAATTAATTCTTAGTTATTTTCTTTCCTTTCAGCACCTTCCCTGATAGGTGTGGTAAGGAAGGACTGGGCATCCCAAAATAGCATTGCCCTATCATGGCAAGCACCTGCTTTTTCCAATGGAGCCATTCTGGACTACGAGATCAAGTACTATGAGAAAGTAGGTCTTATTTGGAGCTTCCTAAAAAACTACATATACATATATATGTATATATGTATATATCAAGCATGTTGTTATATTATTTTACTTTAAAACCTGATCTTTGACCTAACCTCATACCTACTATGTCTTTGAAAACTCTCTAATTTACTATTATGCTTATACTTTCTAAATTAATTCATTTTGTTTTGTGTCAGAGTATAAAGTAGAAGACAGAAGATGTTCATTTCCATCATGACTTACTATAGGGATTTTTCCAATATAGCAAGAGGTAGTAACTCTTTCAGCTTACAGTTTAGTTGACATAACATTGTTTCTACAACTCACTTGGAAGACATGGTAAAATGGAATTGCTATAACCTCAAGAAAGAGTTTTTGTAGGCAATATTGTTTGCTGATCAGTTTAAAGTTACAGTTCACTATATTTGGGAAGGATGATTTAAGGGATAAATGGAAATAGCTAATGTATTAAAATTTTTCTTTACATTTAGGTCAGCTGTTTTTATTTTTTCCTAAGAAGCTAGCAAGATAAATCTGGTTAATAATTCAACTTAATCTTAATTTTCGTTTTTGTCATTTAAAATTGTTCTCAACTCTGTATTTTCCCAAATTATATACTTCCTTACCTTTGTTGTATCCACTTTTTTCTTTATGTTTGTTTTCTCCCTGATTTCTCACTGTTATGGTATTGTGGCTATAGGCATTATAGTAGACCACATAGCAATTCTGATATGTCTCATTGTGCTACTGGTGCTCTGGAATACTGATAAAGGGAACACTTAATTTAAAAAATAAGGTAAAAATCATACATAATTTCTAGTGTGTACTACAGTAAGAAGGAACGTCTTGCACTTCCGTAACTTACTAGAAGCAAAGGAACATCACAAATAAATTTTATTTCTTCTGAAGAAGTACAAGAACAGAAATAGAAGTCTGTCTTTTTATATTCTATTGCTTCTGAGCAAATATAAGTTTGAAAAGGAGAGGTAACTCAGTAGCCTGCCTGTATCCATTTTGACACCCTGATAATTTCAGCATTATGTAGTCAATGAAAACTGCCATTATCATGAACCAACGGGAATAACTCCACAGTCTAAGAAAGGGTAAATTGAGTTTTAATTGGATTACAGATTCTGCACATTAGCCAGGCCAGCATGTGCCAGAAATCCTGTTGAGCTATCCTTTCAAATGTTATAACCTCTAGCATGCTGTCACAAAATATACATATTTTCTGTCTACTTATTTATTAAAAAATAGATCTTTAGGTATGCAAAAATTATCATAATTTTTAAAAGCAATGGGCACATATATAAGCAACTTTTCAGAATGAGAATGTTCCTTTATGTTTTATGAAGGCTGTATTTTGTACATAGAAAATCATTCTCATTTTATAGTCATTTATGCTTCATATGTTTTAGATGAAGATAACTTGAATATTTCCAAATAAGATAAAATCATACAGATTCTGTAAAAAGGGAACCATATTCATCCAATCAAAATTTTAGAAATCAATAATATTCTGGAAGATGGTAATTGACATAATTTCCTTGTTTTAATGATAGAATAGATAATGTTATGAAGGAGTCTATTTTGTAAAAAAATGGCAATGATCCAGTGCTAATGGAGTTAGTACACATGTAGTAAACATGGAGTTGGAAGCCAGGGATTCCTAATTCATGCTCTGATTGTGACTTTCATTATGCTTGTGGCCAAGAAACTCAATTAATCTCCCTATGTTTCACACTTCACATTTACAAAAGGGAAATGAAGATATCAACTCTTCTAATGGGTTATAAAGATTAATTTTATAAACAGACCTAAAGACGAAAAGCACACTAAATCAGTATTAGAAATCATTTAAGAAAGAATTAAGGAAATATTTGACATATAATACAACATAGAACAAGTATACAATAGCATGGAAATTATATACCAACTAAATAAAAATCATATCTTTTCATATGTAATGTATAGGCAACTAATCAAAGGTGTTAGAATATCAAACATTTCAGAGCAAGCATAAAATAATTGATAGGATTAAAACTGTTTCCAACTATGTCTTCGTATTGTAACTGTGCATTTTTTCTATATACATCTATAACATGAATTCTGCTTCCAAGTAAATGTTTTTGTAAAATTTATAACATCTTACAATAGAACTCTTAAAGTGCTAATTTCCTTCTTTATTAGGAATGTAAATACTGTTCATTAAGAAAAGCAAGATACAAAGAAATACATGTACAAATGATCCTAATTTTTGAATACAAATATCCTGCTATATTTGTGTGTGTGTATGCATATATATATATATATATATATATATATATATATATATAAGATTATATAAATACAGAGAAATATGGAATGGAACAGTGTACACCATGCTGTCTCCAATATTGCTTGTTGAGTTGGAGTGGGATGGGGAAGCAAGTACATGGATGGAAGCAAGGAAGAGAGAGGGAAGTAACAAGCATAGATAAACATGGATGGATGGATGAATGGATGGGTCTAAAATAGCTTTGCTTTTTCTCTCGTATCTATTGCCCATAAGCAAACCCTGACAGAGGATTTTGTAAGCAAGTGATTAATTGAGAAGGCTCCCGGGAGGGGCGCCTGGGTGGCTCAGTTGGTTAAGTGATTGCCTTAGGTTCAGGTAATGATCCTGGAGTCCCAGGATCAAGTCCTGCACTGGACTCCCTGTTCAGCAGGGAGCCTCCTTCTCTCGCTGACCCTCTCCCCTCTCATGCTCTCTCTCTCTCTCTCTCTCTCAAAAATAAATGAATAAATATAATCTTAAAGCAAAAAAAGAAAAAAAAAAAAGGCGGAGGGAGAGAAGCTCCCGGGAAAACCGGTACAGAAGGGGGAATAAGACTCTGAAGAAAATGCCAGTCAAACTCAGAGTGACCAAGGTTAGCTCTGGAGTATAAATTACATCTCAGAGTTCATCCTGTAAAGAAAAAGAAGCTGAGCTAATGGTGTATACAGAAAAAAGTACATATATATATGTATATATATATGTGTATATATATATATGTGTGTGTGTGTGTGTGTGTGTGTATATATATATATCGATATATATATCGATATATATATATATCGGCACTTCTGGTTCTCTGTAGTGGCTTTAGTAATGCATATGGAGGCCTGTAAAGAAGGTGCCAGATACAAGCCTTTACAGTCAGAAAAGCAAACGCTGGGGGAGTGGGAGCAGGAACACATAAATGTGATCCAAGGGGGTCTGGTGGCACACCAACTATTAACTAAGGTACTTCTGTGCTCAGCGAACTGTGAAAGAATTTTAAGCCTCGGCTCGTTGTAATATTCATCTTCTCTTCAGTCTTTAGTATTGGTGCATCAGCCTTTAAGGTATTCTAAACCTTCCATTTCCTTTTGATCAAAGTTACTCGGTATTGCTGACTCATAATCCACAAACGATCAATATTTATACCATTCTTTCAGGAATTCATGCTGTTTTATTATGTTCTGCTTAAGAGTGTTATTCTGTAAATCAGGAAAGAAGTTAAGTTGCTTAGAATGTGGAACGTCTACAAATATCTGAGGTCAAACAACATAGTATTGTTATCAGTGACCTTTTCTCAGGGAATGTGTAATATTAGAAAAAAGTCTTGGCCTGAGTGTTCAAAAACTTGATTTTGGCTGAGATCTTAACTTTCTTAGTCCTGTTTTTTCATCTGTTAAAAAAAAAAAGTGTCTAGAAAGATAATCTCTAGTTCTAGCTGTTTCAGAATGTACATCCATACAATTTATAGACACATTATCCCATAACTCAAATAACGATAGTTTTGCATTTATGAAATTAAATGCACACACATACACATTTAAAAAATACTTTAGGGGCGCCTGAGTGGCTCAGAGGGTTAGGCCTCTGCCTTCAGCTCAGATCATGGTCTCAGGGTCCTGGGATCAAGCCCCACATCGGGCTCTCTGCTTAGCGGGAAGCCTGCTTCCCCCTTTCTCTCTGCCTGCTGCTCTGCCTACTTGTGATCTCTCTGTGTCAAATAAATGAATAAAATCTTTAAAAAAAAAAAAATAAAAAATACTTTACCACAGGGAATAGTATTCTTCACATTATAATTATACATAAAAATTAAGAACTTAAATTGTCTTCTGTCTCTGTGTGATAAGAAGGGTATGGAGAAAAAAACATATTGCTTATTGATTATAACTAATTAGATATTAACTGTTCAGTTAATTATACCCCCCAATTCTTAGTTACATTTTTCATACTCAAAGTGTTTCATTTTTATTCATTCAAGTGAATAAACTTTGAACATGAAAAGACACTTCAAATAATGAAGAAAGTCAGATATTTACCAAAAAAATCCTTTCATATTTACTTACTAACAAAGAAGAGTTTAGTCATAATGAGGGAACTGTTAAAAAAAAAAAAAGGCAATTTAGGTGATACAAACACGCTTTATTTACCACTTCAAGAAGTGGACAGTCTCAGAGAACTGTAAAATGGCAGAAGGTGGGATACTTTTATAGGTTAAAGAATAAGAACAAAGAAGAAAAATTGAAAATATCTGATTGACTGAGACCACATATTTAATCTTATTTGGGATGAGAAGGAAGGAGGAAAGAAGTATAGAGTAGGCTTAGCATTTGGGGACTGGCTGACTGGATACACTGCGGTTTTGGTCAAACAGAATTTATAAGGATACAAAAATCGTATTCAGTTTGCTGATGTGGCACCCCAGGTAGGAGCAACTCTATCTTGGGCCTAGAATGTTATTTCAGTAAAACTAAAACATTATTTGCTTCTACCACCTCAGTCTCTGCCTCTAAAATCTACAAACCTTCTTTTTTTTTTTTTTTTAAAGATTTTATTTATTTAGTTCACAGACAGAGATCACAAGTAGGCAGAGAGGCAGGCAGAGGCAGAGAGAGGGGGAAGCAGGCTCCCTGCTGAGCAGAGAGCCCAATGTGGGGCTCGATCCCAGGACCCCGGGATCATGACCTGAGCCGAAGGCAGAGGC